GAAGAAGAAATCCCTCAGAAATCGATTGGTCCAATCAGGTTCGTGGCATCTCTTGTGGTTCACAACTGAAGGGAAAATTACATATCTGAATATCCCCGACGTAAAAGTTTGAGTGTTCCTTTCTTAACCCTATAACGCCAAATGAATATTTGATATGTACGGTTTCTGAAATGTTTTGCGTCTGACACCTTTTGTCCTTAATTTATAGGTAAAAACTTTGCTCAAAATCCTATTTTACACAATCAGATACATGATGTCAAACCCAGGTTGAGTCTACAGTCACAGGACACTGTTTTGTTTCAGAAACTGAAGGGAAAATGACACATCTGAATATAAAACAGCCATGTCCTGGACATTGTGGTGGATCAAAGGCACGTTTTTCCAACGTAGCATATCGAAAAAAAGAAATCGATTGCTCCAATCAGGTTTGTAATGCCAAATGTATCATATTTGATTCATACGGTTTCTGAAATGTTTTGTGTCTGACACAAAACTGAAGGGAAAATGACACATCCGAATATAAAAAAGCCAAGTCCTGGACATTGTAATTTGGCATTACGGGGTTAAAGTTAGAAACGGGTCGTGTTTTTCCAGGGGAAGCTGTGAGTGATTACTGTTCATTGGAAGGGGCGGCCCTTTAATTAGCCCCAGGTCCCCGGGGGGCCATCACCTCGGGGGAGTCTTGCCCCTCTTTATTAGCCCATTTTAATATTGACAAAGAAAAGAGATACACACACAGGCCGGGGCCATTTGGGTTTCTCAGATGGGACACCAGCTCCCGTGAATATGTGAATATGCATGGAGAGGTGATGAACGACTCGGGGATCATCTGGATCACAACAAAGGGGTTTAAAGGGGAGGGGGGGGGGGGCAAAAATAACAGGAGAAAATAACAGGAGATGGAGTCTGGAAATGATTGTGTTCCATCAGGACTAAACTAAAGGCCCTGAAATACTGAGATGAGCCTATTTAGGGAAGCCAAGGATGGAGATCCGACTCCGCCCACATCCAAGTCGGCCATTTTGATTAGGTCACCAATAGGAAGATCCCAGGCAAGAGAATCGTAATTGCTTCATGGGAATATAGACATTATTTTAAAAATAGTGAAATGAATCTTGCAAACACTGAATTAAACTCTATACATAATATTATGTTAAAATAGTGGATGTTAAATAGGTTTGTACAACAAGTCCAAACAAGTTTAACCAAAAAATATTTATTTCTCACAATTATGAAGTGGAGGGTTAGAGTTAGGTTTAGGGTTATGGTCAGGGTTAGGTTTAGGGTCAGGATTAGGGTTAGGGTCAGGGTTAGGTAGGGTTAAGTTAGGGTTAGGATTATGGTTAGGGTTAGGGTTAGAGGCCGGGTTAGCGTCAGGGTCAGGGTTAGGGTTAGGATCAGGGTTAGGGTTAGGGTTATGGTTAGGGTTATAGTTAGGTTTAGGGTCAGGGTTAGGATTAGGATCAGGGTTAGGGTTAGGACATCGTTTATCTTCCGATTTCGTATAGACAGTAAAGTTTCGTTTCCACTTCAGAAACCTTATAGTCACATGAACTAATCAAAATGGCCGACTTGGATGTGGGAAGAGTCGGATCTCCATCCTCGGCCCCTACAGACTGCAGCCAGAGGCTATTGGTCCTATTTTGGGTGCCTAAATTCCTACAGATGACCTTTATCTTCCTCACTGACTATAAAACATGATATGATGATATCTGGCTAAATAGTGATCCTCGTGTCCTCTGGTTAAGTGTTTTTCAACCACTGTGCCTCAGCACACTGTGAGTGATGGTCAGGTGTGCCGTAGAAAATCATCCTATTTCACCTAATTGGTCTAAAAAGATTTTTTGATAAGGAATTAATTATCTGCAAATAATATTCCATTTTTGAGTGTCTGTGCTGTTCTAGTGACTGGTGGAGTAATCATGTAATAATTCTTTATGACTAGATTTTGTATGTAATTTTGCCTATTGAAGTGGACATGTTAAGTGCAATTTGAAAGAAGAAATCTAAAATATGATAAAAAATAAATGTTTGTGTTTATTTGATTCCTATTCAAGACACCTAAGATAAGATAAGAATAAAATAAGAATAACTATAGTGTTACTATAGGGGGCTACAGATTTGTTTGACATTTTTTGTTGGTGGTGTGCCTCGAGATTTTTTCTATGAAAAAATGTACCTTGGCTCAAAAAAGGCTGAAAAACACTGCTCTAGTTAGAGAGAAGATACCGAGTCCTTCCAAGGACAGACTCGACATCCTCCAGCTTCTCCCCAGCGTGCCTTTGAAGGGTGTTTCATCTAATTTACAGAGGATTTCCATCGGTTTCAATTGTTTCCTGACTCAGCTGCTCATTTGAAACGATGTCAGTAGAAGCTGAGCATCACCCGATCGGGTTTCAGTCATTTCGTGGAACGGGCAGATTAAGGAATGACGGCATCAACCTTGGAAGGACCCGAGAAGCAACTTCCAGCTCTTAAGTGGCTTCGATGGTGAATCGGGACGCTCGAAATCCCCCAGAATGCAATTACAGGAGGGGATTATGTCCCTTATTCAAGCTCAAATTGAGCACAGGGTGTGTTTAAGTGTATGTTTTTGTGCATAAAACATTGAGGCGGATTGTGGCGGGCAGCTGATCCCCTCTTAAGGTTTAAACCTCATCCTGTGACATGATGCTGAAAAATAGAGTGAGATGTAAAAACAGATTCAGGTTTTAGATTAGCGGTTGCTGTCAAATGAGCTTTTGATGGAGGATATTAAGAGAAAATCCAGTTTTCCTTGGCTGAATAAACTCAGAAAAACACCACCTTGTTAAGGACATGGATTCTGAATAGAGACAAACATACAAAAGAACTAAAATCATCATCAGTGAAACGGGGGAGGAACCAACTGGGGCAATAGACTGGGATATGTTAGAATTGGGCTATAATTACTCACTTTAGAACAATATGTTATAACTTAATCCATGTAAATGACTGATTGTCTTATTCCTTTATCGGGCAAGTGACTGTTTTTGGTCATTTCCGCACGTGTTAGTTATAATAAAACGTTTTTAAAAATGTCACAAATGTAATAAAATCTTATTATGTTGTCCCATAACACTCTAATGTTGAATTTTTTTATTTTAAAGTATTTCATTGAGTGCCCAATAAAGGTTTTTTCCTTTTTAGATTGATATTATTCCCTTTAGAATGATACTTTTGGGTTAAACTCTCTGGCTGTGCCTCCTCCTCTCTCTGTTACAGTAGATACTCGTCTTTAAGCTCAACATCCACACTTTCTTATCACAATCCACCAAAACCTGCATGAATTAGGACCTGGCCTGTTCATGTCAGAGCTAACTGGCCTATAACACTCGTCCATCGCACCCGGAAATCGAGTCTCTTGCCAACTGAAATCCTCCGGGAGCTTTGTCTGTTAGAGCCCGGCTGATTTACTTTGCTTGTGACCAATAAATGTCGTAAATGGCTAACAGAGCTGCCCCTCGGGATGATGCTGAACAAACATGGAGGCTCCTCTTCTGGCTGCTCTCTTAAAGTTGGACGAGAGGATTTGAGATATTCTGGGGCATCTTCAGACTCCTTTAGTCAAACCCAGGTTGAGTCTAAAGTCACAGGACACTGTTTTGCTTCAGAAACTGAAGGGAAAATTATATATCCGAATATAAAAAAGCCATGTCCTGGACATTGTGTTGGATCAAAGGCACGTTTTTCCAACCTAGCATGTCGAAGAGAAAAATAAATCCCTCAGAAATCGATTGGTCCAATCAGGTTCGTGGCATATTTTGTGGTTCACAACTGAAGGGAAAATGACATATCTGAATATCCCCGGCGTAAAAGTTTGAGTGTTCCTTTCTTAACCCTATAATGAAAAATGTATCATATCTGATTCATACGGTTTCTGAAATGTTTTGCATCTGACACATTTTGCATAATTTAATGGTAAAAACTTTGCTCAAAATCCTATTGTACACAATCAGATACACCTGATAACAGGGGGCAGAAGACTACACAAAAATAATCTTGACTTATCACATAGTAATAAATTATTAATATAAAAAATGTATTTCAGTTTTTTTTTCTTTTTACATATTTAGTTAAAAGGCCAAATAAGGAATTCAGACAAAAAAAAAAAAATTTCAATTCTGTTTTGTTTTATTCTTGGATCGGGCTTTAAAGGGTTAAAAGACATGTCCTGGACATGTCTTTTAACACATTTTTCCAACGTAACATATCGAAGAGGACAAGATCTGCCTCAGAAATCGATCGATCCAATCGTGGTTCAAAAGTTTCGAACACAGAAAATAAACAGCCTTTCCCAGCTGCCATTGGGGGAGAACTGTCATGTCTGGGGGAATGTCTGGTGTCTCGTCATGTCTTGATTAGCTATTGTGCACACCTGGGGTTCCCCTCCCTCATGTGTTTAAATAGTCCTCGTTTCCCATGTCCTGTGCCAGTTCGTTTTCGTCTTTCGTCTGTTGTCTTTCGTCTCCCCACGTCAGTTCAGGTTTGATTTAGTCACAGCCTTGTTTACTTTACTGCCATAGTCATGTTTTTGTTCCATAGCCACAGTTTTCGTCATAGCCATGTTTTGTCACAATTTTGTTAATCGTAATTTGATACTTTGCCACAGCCTTGTTTACTTTACTGCCATAGTCATGTTTTTGTTCCCTAGCCACAGTTTTCGTCATAGCCATGTTTTGTCACAATTTTGTTAATCATAATTTGATACTTTGCCACAGTCTTGATTACTTATTTGCTTTGATACTTTGCTCATAGTTTTCCACAGCCTTGATTTGTACTTTGTCTGGGTCCATTCACTCTTCATGAGTGTTTTTTTGTTACAATAAACCTTGTTTTTTTCCACATCTCCGCGCCTGAGTCCTCCACCAAGACCCAACCTCCCTGACAAGAACGGGAGGGAGTCGGGACTTAAGCCGAGTCCGTAAACCCAGTGAGAAAGCAGCTCTTCCTGTTTCCCTTCCCTCCTTTCTGAGCCTCAGAGGGGCCACATGTGCGGCGGGGTTTGAGGGGC